TACACATACATACATATACACATACATATATATATATATATATATATATATATATATATATATATATATATATATATATATATATATATATATATATATATATATATATATATATATATATATATATATATATATATATATATCTATGTATATATGTATATATATATATATATATATATATATATATATATATATATATATATATATATATATATATATATATATATATATATATATATATATATATATATATATATATATATATATATATATATATATATATATATATATATATATATAATAAAAATGACAAATATACAAAATATTCATTGAATTCACTAAATTTAATTGTATTTTGGAAACATTTTAAAATGCAAGTAAGTTGTGTCTCATAGTTTAATACTTACTGCACTAAAATGCATAAAACTGAAGTAAAAATGCATAAAAAGGTTACAAATAATAATAATAATAATAACAATGACAAATAAAAAATATTCAATAAATTTAAATAATTTAAATATATTTTTTTTAAATACAAGTAATTTTAACTTTACATACTGTACCAAAGCACATATAACCTAAAGTATATATAATACAACAATAATAATAATAATAATAATAATAATAATAACAATAATAATAATAATAATAACAACAAAAGTAGTAGGAGGTAAAAAACACAACAAAATTACTAAAGCACAGTTAGATATAGTATCTAAAGTTATTAACATACAACATTTTTTAATGCAAATGAATTTTACTGATTAGCTGTTGTAATACATCAACAAATAAAAGATAACTGAAACATTACAAATATTTTTAATAAAAAAAACTGCACATTTAAAATTACTAACAAAAGACACACAATGCAATTCCTAAGACACAGTTAAAGTCTGTTATAAAGAATAAAAATAACTAATTAATAAATGTAAAAAAAATTTTTTGAAAATAAAATAGTTACACAATAAAAATATATGTAAAAGAGATGCATTTATTTATACCACAAACCCAGAAACAAGAGCCTTGTTAATCTACTATGCTTTTGCCTTTGCATGCAGGTAGTTTGATTTGCTTTCAAAGCATGTGCATGTACTGCTGCTAAACACAAGGTGGCGTCGTTGTGACAACAGAAACAAGATGATCGTTATTGAGCAGTCCTGCTGCTGCCCGACAGTAAAAGTCCACACAAACACAAAGTAAAGGCTGTGCTTCAATTCACCAGTGTTTCTTTTTTAAAGCGTCTCAGTTTGCTGCCAACACAGTGTCAGTTGGTCTATCTATCATGTGTATTTATATATTAGATATAAATAATTAAGATATACATACAGAAGTATGTTTATTAATCTTGTTGACTGATTTATTGATGTCGTTTTTGTGAAATTTACAAATGATGTGGTAAAACGTTTAGAGTTATAATTAGGTGTAAAATTAACTGAAAAAGACTGGTCCTCAACTGTGTGCTGGTTGCCTAGTAACAGGTGACACGTACCACGCACTGATAGTGAATAGTTCAGGTGTGACGAGTGAACATGAACAGCCTGAGGACTTCACAACTGTGGCAAAGGTGAAGGTGAAAAAACAGTCAAGACAAAAAACAGAATACAAAGTTCTATTTAATATATGCTGTATGTGGAAATACGTGCACTTATTGAAACGACTGATAACTTGAAGCTTTCTGTAAATGACACCAACTACAAATGTCTGAATATTTATTTATTTTCTATAAAAATAAATAAACAAATAATAATAATAATAATAATAAATAAATAAAAATAATAATAATAATTGTAAAAAAAGAAATAATAATTAAATATTACATTTGAAGTTGTCCAATTTTTTATTAAAAGAAATTTATTGAAATTTATTTGTATTAATATACAAAAACTATGATAATAAAAAACTCATTATTAGAATACTGTACTAATGTATACACTTTCACTATTTGAAACGACTAATAACTTGAAGCTTTCCTAAAATGACACCAACTACAAATGTCTGAATATTGTTTTAGAAAAATAAACAAATAATAAAAATAATAATAATAATAAATAAAAATAATGATAATAATTGTAAAAAAAGAAATAATAATTAAATATTACATTTGAAGTTGTTCAATTGTTTTATTAAAAGAAATTTTATGAAATTTATTTGTATTAATATACAAAAATTATGAAAATACAAAACTCATTATTAGTATATACTGTATTAATGTATACACTTTCACTATTTGAAACGACTAATAACTTGAAGCTTTCCTAAAATGACACCAACTACAAATGTCTGAATATTGTTTTAGAAAAATAAACAAATAATAAAAATAATAATAATAATAAATAAAAATAATGATAATAATTGTAAAAAAAGAAATAATAATTAAATATTACATTTGAAGTTGTTCAATTGTTTTATTAAAAGAAATTTTATGAAATTTATTTGTATTAATATACAAAAATTATGAAAATACAAAACTCATTATTAGTATATACTGTATTAATGTATACACTTTCACTATTTGAAACGACTAATAACTTGAAGCTTTCCTAAAATGACACCAACTACAAATGTCTGAATGTTTATTTATTTTTAGAAAAATAAACAAATAATAATAATAATAATAAATAAAAATAATAATAACAATTGTAAAAAAAAAAGAAATAAAAATTAAATATTACATTTGAAGTTGTCCAATTTTTTATCAAAAGAAATTTATTTGTATTAATATACAAAAATTATGATAATACAAAACTCATTATTAGTATATACTGTACTAATGTATACACTTTCACTATTTGAAACGACTAATAACTTGAAGCTTTCCTAAAATGACACCAACTACAAATGTCTGAATGTTTATTTATTTATTTTCTAGAAACAAACAAACAAATAATAAGAAGAAGAATAAGAAGAAAATGTAATTTTCAATTAGTATTTAAATTAAGTTGTCCCATTTTCCATTAAAAGGAATTTAATGCCATTTATTTGTATTAAAGAGCACATGTTATACATGAAAAAGGGTCACATTTCGTTTATATGGATCTCCAACAACATACTGATATGCATGCAAGGTCAAAAAACACTTTCATGGTCTAATAGTATGAATTTATTTTTACCTAATTATCCCATCGACTCCCATATGAATCGTTCAGCGACTAATTTGTTCCCAAACCCCTTCTTAGCGTGAAGCTAATCTGCGCTGATTGGACCGATGACAGCCTGTTGTGATTGGTCGACATCGTTCAGCATGAGACAAATGTCCAGCGTGGTTTGTCAAGCCCCCGGGTCCCCAACATTGGTATAGGATTTGATCGCAGCGGACGCCCGAAACCAGGGCCGGAGTGGGACTGCTTTTCAGCCCTGGAGTTTCAAGCCTCAGACCGGCCCACCTCAGTTCACGACTGACTATATTAGAATAACGTCATTTCCAATTCAGATTCTAATTACACTATCACGTCTTTTTTAAGAAAACAGCTGCTTTAGAACTTCAAATGTTCAACAATCCTAACAGTATTATATGTCTTAACTATAAACAATTAAAAAAAAAAAAACATACTCAGACGAGAATCAAACCCCGGTCGGCAGCGTCGTTATCTAACGTGCTAACCACTAGACCACAGCAGCTGTTGTCACATAACCGATAACCTGCAGGCCACTTGTATATAAACAGAGCAGAGCTGCGGTAAAACAATGAATAAGAAGACTGTGGTCAAATAAATAAATTAATTTAAAAAGTGTGACTGCTGAGAGCAACAGATTCTGAAGCTAGGGACACCGGCCCTCGCGGCCAAAAAACAGACCGGCCCACCGGGAATTCTCCCGGTCCTCCCGATTAGCCAATCCGGGCCTGCCCGAAACACACTTCATAGTAAAACTTACTCAACAGTGTTATTCAGACGACTCACCACCAAAAGCAGTGTAGTCAAACACCAGCACATTGCTCCATTCTTAACTATGACACACGTTCAGTATTAATCCACACAGCAGCAAAAGCTGAAGTATTCTGAACCTTGACCACTGCACGTGTGTAGGAACAGCTGACGGTGGCCATAGCAATGACAAACGGCAGTGGAACACAAACCCATTTAAATCCGTAAACAAAGCAGCACGCGTCGCGTTTCAACGTGCCATTAGACGCGATATGAGAATATAAAGAGTTAACCTGATACAGTACAAGCGGTTACAAGTAACAAAACAATTGAATACATCATTTGCAGGCTAGAGAAAACAAGGAGACAGCCATTCACTTACACTTATGAAATGTGTCAAGGGCCAGGTCTGATTCCATCAATTATCTTTCATTTTGGAGCTTTTCTCTCTTCTCAGCTGTAACTAAGATCATTTCTATTTGCAATTATTGCCGTGGCACATCTTGCGTGAAGCGTTATATGTTCTCAGGGCATACCTGTACTCTGCTTTGCTCAAAGATCACATCCCCAGCCAGGGGGTTGTAGCGCTCACCAGCGCTCCTCCTCAGCATGCAGCAGGCTGCCTAATAAACTGGCCTTGTTTTGCACGCACCCCTCGTGCATTTTCTTTCCATTCTCACAAGTCTACATCAGTAGTCTTTTCTGATCCTTCCTTTAAAGAGCCCATATTATACATGAAATAGGGTCATATCTTGGTTGTAAGGGTCTCCAACAACAGTCTAATATGCATGCAAGGTCAAAAAACACTTTCGTGGTCTTATAATCTGCATTTATTTTTACCTAATTATCCCAGCGACTCCTGTATGAATCGTCCAGTGATTCATTTGTTCCCAAACCCCTCCTTAGCGCGAAGCTAATCTGCGCTGATTGGACCGATGACAGTCTGTCACGATTGGTCGACTGCCTTCAGTCAGAGAGTGAAATGCCCAATAGCTAATCAGCTATATAAAAGTAATCACAGTTCATACACGCTCCATAGTGTAGGCGTGGATTTTAGCTGCCACACACACACAAAAACACACACACACACCTCCGGACGACAACGCTCCCGCTTCCGCCCGCACCCGCCAGGTTTTAGCCTGAACCCGACCACTCCCGCTTATATTTAGAATTTCTTGTCCCGGTGCCCAAACCGCCCCGTTTTCTGCCCGCCGCGCCCGATCCCGCTAAAGAGCGGGGGAGAACATAACCGAAAAATCACCCAGCAAAACAGTCCAGAGACAGCCAGACAGAGCTCTCTCATACGCGCGCACTAACACATACACACAAGCGCCAAGCAGACACACAGGCAGGCAAAGCTCTGTCTCATTCGCATAGCAATATCCACGATATTGCTAGACAGCCCGCTCCCGTCCCAAATTAAACCTGTTACCGACCGCTCCCGCGATTGATTCGGAAATTTATTCCCGCGCCGCAGAAATCTGGCGCGGGGACAGCCGCGGGAATGCAGACCTCTACCACGGAGCTCCGTAAACAAACAGCACGCGTCGCGTTTTTAACGTGACTTTGCACGTGATAAGAGAATATAGCCAGTTAACCTGATACAGTACACTCGGTTACAAGTAACAAATCACAACTAAATACATTTGCAAGCTAGAGTCAACGAGGCAACTTTAATCGCACGTACTTACATTTGAGAAATGGAGGAAGAAACTCATCCTGACGTCCATTAGTAAGTTACTCTTTACTGATCCTTACTTTAACAAACGCAGATGAAGTATTCTTTGTAGCCTGTAGTTTCCAGAAGTTTCCAACTGCTTGGTTATAATGCTGAGGTTTCATCTCTGGGTAGAGAATCGATAATGTCCATCTGCAGTGTGACTTCAATCGACCGGCATGTTTGTGTGCGTGTGTTTGTGGGTGTGTGTGTGTGTGTGTGTGTGTCTGGGTTTCTGCGTCAGAGGGCGGGGCCTCAGGTTTGAAATCTCCCGGGTTTGCGCGTGCACGTGAATAACTTGGTTTCGTTCGTACGTCATGGCGAAACACCTAATGAATCGGTATCAAGGCGACTCGGTTGAAGCACTACGAGTCGACTCTTTCATAGATGAATCAACCGTTTTAAACACTGTATTCTTACAGATTTAAGCCTTAGCTGGATACTTCACTTCACTTAGAGCTGTGTTACACACTACATGGAGGGGAATTTTCAAAAACCCATAATATGGGCTCTTTAACAAACGAATGAATTGCCCACTGTAAGCGTGTAGACTGCTAAATCATCTCTTTCCCCTCACACTTCCAATGAACAAGGTAAGCACAGGGTCTTCTTGACTCATGACTTCAGGATCTGTTTGTCTTTGCTGCTGTGTTAGTGGGCGGGGCTTTCCCGGGTTTGCGCAAGCAACAATAATGTTCTGTAGTCACGTCACGCTGAACCGGCTAAACACTCGTTATAAAGACGATTCATTCTAACCACTATGAGTCGACTCTTTTTTTCGATGAATCAATAGTTTTAAAATCGGTCCACTTTCAGATTTAAGCCTTATCTGGATATTTCACTTCACTTAGAGCTGTGTTACACACAGGTCATTTTCGAAATCCCACAATAGGGGCTATTTAATATACAAAAATTATGATAACACAAAATTCATTATTAGTATATACTAGGGATGCACCGAAATGAAATTCTTGGCCGAAGCCGAATAATAATGAAATGCTTGGCCGAAGGCCGAATACCGAACCCCAGTGTTTCAATTTTTTTTTTCATTTAGTTTGCCATTTTTATCACCATTACAATAATTAAATAGTAAAAATTAGCTTTTTACTATTTTGTGTTGCTTTTCAGAGAAATAAATCAAATAACAAAAATACAATTTCAAAATAATGATTTAACCCTGAACATTTTTTTAACATCCAAGCAGATAATATACAAACAAAGCACAATATAACTTAAAATAAAATAATTAGTAAAATAAAAAAATATTTTTATTTGGCCATCTTTGAAGCCCCCCTTCTTGTATAGCCTATGTTAGGCCTATAACTGACTGCTGAAAAAAATTAACTGTATGTCTACAACAACAAATGTGCATTGAATAGTGCAAAAGATGTGGATGAACCCACAACAAATGAATAACTGTCCAAGACATAAGCCTACTTCTTCAGGAAAAGTGGCAGGTTCTTCTTTATGAAAAGTTGTATCAGATGAGCTTATCTGGACAATTCAGCAGAACAGAACACTCTGACACTTTAAAGTGCATCCACACTGCCGACATGTTTGCTGCATAAAGCGCGCGCCTCTCACTCTACGCGGGTTACTATTTGATCGCGTCATAAAAAACGTCATTGTTCGTCAAAATTTATTCAGCCTTTTTACTTATTCGGCCAAACACCGAAAGTGCTTTTTTTTGGCTATTTTCGGCCAAATAATTTCGGTTGCCGAATATTCGGTGCATCCCTAGTATATACTGTACTAATGTATACACTTTCACAATTTGAAACGACTAATAACCTAAAGATTCCTTAAGATTGCAATAAATACATAAACATAAAACATAATAACTCTATTTAATATTCATCACATCTTTTATAATCAGTTTCAAGTTGTTCCATTTTCAATTAAAATAATTGAACAAAAAAAAATGAAAAAAAGAAAGCAAGAGTTCATTTTTTATAGATACTCTATGTAAATACTTTCGCTATTTTAAACACCATTAATATTAAAAGCATGGCTTGTCCTACATTGAGTGACTCAAACAGGCTTTTACACTGGTCAGGTAAATTAGGGGTCTGCTAATTAGTGTTTGTCCTTCAGAAGCCCATGTTTAACTCCGGGGATCAGATTAACCGAAGAGCTGAACAGGAAATGACCTCACGCACTTACCATTGATGTCACCACCAGCGCAGGGAAGAAGCCCATGGTCAGATAAAACATCAGCTCCACCAGCTTATACCTGAACAGCACACACAAACAGAAAACAAACACTTTCATCTCTCTATATGTGCCAGACACTCTTACAATCACTTCAGATCTCTATTTACATATTTATTTATTTACTTATTTAAATATTTATTTACAGTTTTATTTACGCATTTATTTACTTGAGTATTTATTTACAAATGTATTTATTTACACATTTATTTGCTTATTTACTTATTTATGTATTTATTTACACATTTATTTGTTAATTTACGCATTTATTTACTTATTTATTTACTAATTTATTTACGCATTTATTTATTTATTTATTTACACGTTTATTTTTAGGTTTATTTACAAATTTATTTAATTATTTATTTACTTATTTACATATTTATTTTCATATTTATTTGCTTATTTACATATTTATTTACAGGTTTATTTACGCAGTTATTTACTCACTTATTTACCCATTAATTTACGCATTTACGTATTGATTTACATATTTATTTACTTATTTACAGATTTATATATTTACTTATTTACGGATGTATTTACTTACGCATTTATTTACTTATTTACATATTTATTCACACATTAATTCACATTTACTAATTAATACATTTTCACTTATTTATTTACTTATTTATTTACCTACTTATTTACTTATTTATGTATTTATTTAGATTTATTTACTCATTCACACATTTATTAACATTTTTATTTACTTATTCACGCATTTATTTACATATTTATTTACTTATTCATGCATTTATTTACATATTTATTTACGTATTTATTAACATACTTATTTAGGTAGTTATTTACAGATTTATTTACAGATTTATTTATGCATTTATTTACTTATTTACGTATTTATTTACACATTTATTTATTTATTTACTCATTTATTTACTTATTTATACGTTTATGTATTTACTTAGTTACATATTTATTAACAATCATTTACGTATTTATTTACATATTTACGCATTAATTACTTATTTACATATTTATTTACGTATTTATTTACCGATTTATTTACTTAGTTACATATTTAGTTACGTATTTATTTATTATTTACATAATCATTTACATATTTATTTACTTTTGTATTTATTTACTCATTTATTTACTTATTAATTTACATATTTATTTACTCATTTATTTTCTTATTTACACATTTGTTTACTTATTTATTTACTCATTTATTTACTTAAGTATTTATTTACTTACAAATTGATTTACTTATTTGTGTATTTATTGACACATTTACATAATTATTTACTTATTTACAGATTTATTTACGTATTCACATATTTATTTACTTATTATTTACATATTTATTTACACAAAACATATAAACCATACATGCATTTTTTTTATGTCAACTTTTCTTTGACAAGCTTTAAAAACTATAATAAACTAACTATAAAAGACACTGAATTTCTGCTCCCATAGCGTACTCATAAAAATGCAATCCCACTTTTCCTAACCTAGTGCCTAAATGTTTCCTTGGCTGTGCTTTAAATCATTGTCTTGCTGAAATGTCCACTCTAGTTTCATCTTCATCATCCTGAGAATGTTGATGTTGGACAGAAGCAGCTGATATTCATTTTCATTTACAAGGAGGAAGGGCAGAGGGTTCCTGAAGAACTACTGAGAGGTTTCAGCTGCTGTCTGGGCTTTCACTGCTTTCTATACCTCCCTTTCTTCATATGTTCAACACTTTTTCCCAGAGCCATTTCATTTTTATCAAGCATAACTTTAATACTAATTAGATTTATTTTCTTTGCATGTACGGATTGCTTTGGTTGTTATCAACATCTGATCTAAACTCCAAGTCAACGGCATGTTTATAAATATGTTTCCTGAGAAAAATTGGGACATATTCAATACCCTATTTCCCTGCTGTCCATCATCAATCCTGGCCAATAATTAAAATATGATGTCTGAATTAGATATTTAGGTGATGTCCAACATACTTTTCGTGGTAATTAAACACATAGATTGTTCCGGCAGCCGCCATCAACCACACAAACCAGCGCATGTGAGCGGCAAGCGGCCCGAGTTCCCGGAGATTCAACCTGCACACAAACACACACAAAAAAACGTAGTGAGAGTCACAGAGAAAGATGTCACATAAATTAGCCCAAAGACTAGTTTACTATGCTAGTCCCTTTGTAATAAACCAATTCAATTACAGATTTAATATATAAACAAGACTTGAACAACAGAAAACAAATGGCAAAAGCCTAACTAGTACAAACAAACTAGGATTTTGTGCTATTGTTTTCTGTTGTTCGAGTTCTGTTCATAATTTGAATTGGTGTTTGTATTTCTTAATAATCTTAAATCTAATGTATAATGGATGGTCTGTTAAGTGACCGCTGATAAATAAAGATGCTCAGTAACTGGAGTTAAATCCCACTTCAGTTCTCTAGCGAAGCGCTCAAGAACACTGAATTATTCACGCTCTCATAGGAAAGTGACCAAAAGCTGCGGCCGCTTCAGTCACTCGAAACTCATGAAAAAGTGATGGAGAGCTGATCAAAAATGCTGCACTACCAGATCAATGACATTCAGACAGCTGTGACCAAAAATAGCCAAATATGATGAGCTGTACAAAGCTATTTCCACAGTGACTTCAGTTTCACAATATTAGGATGGCAGACTGGATAAGAAATGAGGATGTATGTGGGTAAATGGGGAAATGAATCGATTGTGAAACAAAAATATGCACTTAAAGGGATAGTTCACCCAACAATTACAATTATTTCAACATTTATATTGTTGTTCCAAACATTTATGAGTTTCTTTCTGCTGTTGAATACTAAAGAAGATATTTTGAAGAATGCTAAAAACCAGTAACCATTGACTTTTATAGTAGAATAAACAAATACAATAGAAGTTGGTAAGGTTTTCAGCATTCTTCAAAATATTTAGTATTCAACAGCAGAAAGAAACTCATAAAGGTTTGGAACAAGGCAAGGGTGAGTAAATTATGACAGAACTGTAATTTCTGGGTGAAAAGACAGAAGACATGAAGACATTTCCTATCACAAAAGATTTTGTTTTTAGACAAATACTAAACTTATTTCTCATGTGCACTTTTTCAGCTTGCTATTCATTACTAGATTTGGTAAACAATATATTAAATACATTTTATTAAACATCACTCGGCTCTTACTGTGATTTATTGTTCTTTGAGCGTGAAGGAAGAACAATACACTTTATTATGCTGAGGTTAATATTAATTCCTGGCTGTGTTTTCATATACTTGAATTCAGAATCATTAGCCCCTCTGAATTATTAGGCCCACGGTTTATGTTTTCCCAAATTTCTGTTTAACGCATAGTCGATTTCTTCAGCACATTTCTAATCATAATAGTTTTAATAACTCATCTCTAATAACCAATTTATTTTATCTTTGCCATGATGACAGTAAACAATATTTCACTAGATATTTTTCAAGACACTTCTATACAGCTTAAAGTGACATTTAAAGGCTGTATAATGATGGTTTATTTACTTAAGTATTTATTTACTTATTTGTGTATTTATTGACACATTTACATAATTATTTACTTATTTACAGATTTATTTACGTATTCACATATTTATTTACTTATTTATTTACATATTTATTTATGTTTATTTACTGATTTATTTACTTATTTACATATTTATGTATTTATTTACATATTTATTTACTTATTTACGTAACAATTTACTTATTTATATATTTATTTACTTATTCACATATTTATTTACATTTTTATTTACTTATTTATTTACTTATGTATGCATTTATTTACTTTATTTATGTTTTTATTTACATATTCATTTACATACTTGCTTTGGCTAAACCGTAAGGATTTTTACTTGCCCTATCAAAAAAAATAATAATAATCTAATTACTTAAATAATACCTAAATAATGTGTCAAAACATATAAACCATACATGCATTTTTTTATGTCAACTTTTCTTTGACAAGCTTTAAAAACTATAATAAACCAACTATAAAAGACACTGAATTTCTGCTCCCATAGCGTACTCATTTAAAGGCTGTATAATGATGGTTTGTTCTGAAGACAGTCAAAAAAAAAAAATAGCTTAAAGGGGCTAATAATTTTGAACTTAAAATGTTTCATAAAAAAATTTAAACTGCTTTAATTCTAGCTGAAATAAAACTAATAAGACTTTCTCCAGAAGAAAAAAATATTATCAGACATACTGTGAAAATTTTCTTGCCCTGTTAAACATCATTTAGGAAATATTTAAAAAAGACAACAAAAAAAATTAAAGAGGGCTAATAATTCTGACTTCAACTATGTTAAAGCTTCAAAATTCTTCTGTTTGTCTCTTTTGTTGAGCATAATTATAATTTAGCCTATATTCCATCCACAAGACAGTTCAAGAGCAAACTGTGTTACTCTTGTGGATTAAAGATAGCTCACCAACTCCTTCTAGCTAAAATAAATCTGTCCACCACTTCAGTTGAAACAAATGTCATTTAACGAGGGATCTGATCATCTTGTTCAAATATTGAGTAGACAACTGAAGAAGGATGTACATGTGTATTGCAAAGTACATAAGGGCTCTATGAGTAGGTCTTCAAAGAATCAGAGTGCGCAGAAATCTGCAGATGTCCACAGACTTTATTTTGCCCATCATAGAGCATTTATTTACTCGTTTGAATAAATACACATATTTAATCAGTTTGTATAGTAATTTCAGTAATTGTATTAAGTAATACGCATACGTTTAGATGATTTATTTGCAATGCTGTTTGTAAAGCGATAGTTTCTGTCTTTTAGTAGATGTTTTATGAGACTTGCTTTGTTTATCAAACAACGTATCTTATTGGATTTGCATTGTAAACCTTAAACTGAAAGTTAAATGTCAATATTTATGTCCTTTTTTATGTTTTAGTTGCTAAACCTCCATTTATTTCCCCCCAAATTCTGCACAGAAAAAAATGTGTGCAGATTCTGTGCAAAGCTCATTATTATTCATTATTCATACCCTTCCAAATAAGGTAAAACCGGAGCTTTCATCCTAGAGCCGATGTATAGGGATATAAATGGGCTTGTAATACGTTAAAAAGCCACATGCCTTCCACAACTGATATAATGCATCTATGCATCCTATGACAACTTTAATTAATATTCAGCATTGTTGACAATGTTTCTAAAGCAGGCTGTCGTCATATTAGACTAATTTCTAAAGAGTCATGTTACGATTGCAAGTAACCATGCTAAAAAATCAGCTTTGCATAACAATATATTACATTTCAAAACAATCACATAGGAAACCTTTATTTTAAATGACTATACAGTTACAGACAATATTATCATTGCAGCATTTTTAATTAAAAGCATGCTAAATAAATTCAAACATTTAAAAACCCACATTTTTATTTATTACTTTTTGTAAACCTGACAGAACCTTAATGCACTTAGTAAGTTTTAAAATCACTTTTTGTCAATCACACCAAAGTAAATATGAAATAGAAGTGTAAAGAAACGTACCATGGTGTATAAGAGGCAGCAATAAAGAAGTATATAACAACTCTATCACACATGTGGAAACAGTGCTCCATCGTCCTGTAAAAATAAATAATATTCAATGACTTGTCATGTCATCATGAGAGCTTAAGTGCACATCTAGTTAATGTCATAACATAATAATGTCAACCATTAAAGGTACAGGAGTGACTCCTAATCAATATTTATACATGAGATAATTATTTCAGAGATTCAGCCCTGCATTTAAATGCTTTAATCCTTCCCAAAACTATACCTATAGCTCAAAAGTCAATGCCCAACTCTTTATTTATAAACAATGCAAGTATTTTATTTTTTATAATCACACTTGATAAAAACAGAAACACTTTGATTGACATTCTCTCTTTGTACGTGTCATCAGTGGGGCAAAGTCCTGGCCATTTGTGACCATCTCTCCCTCATTAGCATAGGACATTAGTCTTGTTCTTGAATCTGCCGCTATGCTGACACACAGGCATTTGTAGCTCCGCCCTCTTTTAAAAGGAGCAGAATCTCATTTGAATTTAAAGCGACAGTCGCCAAACTCCACAATTTAGATTAAAGCCTAAAAGGGGCAGTTTCAGAGAGTTATAAAATGTTATTTGTGGGGTATTTTATACTGAAACTTCACTTAAAAAGCAAAATATGTTACATGCAAAAAATATTTTGGATTGCTTGTATTGTTAAAAAACTAACTATAATACATCTTAACTCTAATCTGCTAAATGTGATTATAAGACAAGAAGATATTATCTTAATATAAAAATCAAATAAATAAAATTGGTCCCTTCTTTAAAGCTTTATACAAGCATCACTTAAAAAACAGCTCAACCAATTATTTTTGAGAGCTGACCGTAATGTCTACTTTATAATTCACTGTTATAAACACTGTTAAAAACATGAAATAAAAAAAAACTTTTAATAAATATAAATGCACGGTTTTGTACAGTTTAACCCTTATTTTGGTCAATATCATAATCACAATTATTTAAAAATAATTATGATCGGGCCACATGACCAAAACCTTTTAGATTTTATTTAAGCTCTTTTCAAAATGTAGTTTGTTGAAGTTTTTTTTTTTTTTTTTTTTGCTATTTTCGTAATATGCTGCAGCAAAGAAAAAAAATTTAACCTTGAATGCATATCTGGCAACCCAAAATATGCTATTAGTGAGTAAGTACAAACGTCTGATAGCAAGTTATATATGAAATGAGCAGATTCTCGGTTCCACCCATATCTGAGAAAGTACTTAGAAGTGTTGTTTGATGTTTTGAGAAATCAGTCAGTACTTTAACATGTAAACTACTTGACAAAAGTCTTACAGCCTATCCAAGTTTTAGGAACAGCAAATAATAACTTGACTTCTAGTTGATCATCTGGTATCTTCAAAGCCCCCTCCTTCATTTTACCCCAGACATGCTTAATAATGTTTATGTCAGGTGACTGGGCTGGCCACTGAATGTAACCCCAAACCATGATTTTCCTTCACCAAACTTGACTGATTTCTATGAGAATCTTGGGTCCATGCAGGTTCAATTAGATTGGGATGCAATTCAACAGATGATTCATCAGATAAATCAACCTTCTGCCACTTTTCCAAATGATCAACTAGAAGTTAAGTTATTTGTTGCTCTGACAACTGAGATCAACATCAAGACTGGAAGTTCATACTGACTATCTACAAGTGTGTGTATTACAAGATATCAGAGGAGATATGGAAACCTTTCCATTTGTAGGAATCCGACAGTTGACTAATTAGACTTTTCCTTTTGGGTGGGTTTTAAGTTGTCATTAGGCTGGAAAATTTTCTTGGACCTGGCAACCCTGATTACCCGCGTGTATTTTCATTTTGATTGCAATTTGTATCATTTTAAAGTGCTAGTTCACCCAAAAATGACAATTCTGTTATTGATTACTATTAATTTGACTGTTTTTTGGTGTACAAAAGTGTTCTTGGAGCTTCATATGATTACAGTTGGATCACTGAAGATTGTTTGGTAATGATTTTGGTACGATACCTTAAAATATCGATGTTTGATACCATTATTGATACTGCAAGTAATCTAAAACATTTGCAATTAATGTTGATGATGAATAAAATTCTTATGGTATTGGAAGAGCATGAGTCTGAGTAATTAATAAGATAATTCTCATTTTGAGATACAAATCCCAAGCAAAGCAAACGTACACACATATTAAGGGTTGCCAGATCCAAGAAATTTTTCCAGCCCAATGACGACTCAAAACCCACCCAAAAGGATTTAAAAGTAGCTTTATTGCTTTTCTTTGTTAAATCAGAGTCAACTGCTGGATTCCCACAAAGGGAAAGTGTTTACATATCCTATTTGATATTTAGTAACACACACACACACACACACACACACACACACACAAACACACTTGTTTATACACAACATACATGTTAAAGTACTGATTGATTTTCAGTGCTATACAAACAAACTTTGCCTTTGACCTTTTGATAAAACATCTGCCAAATGCATGAATGCAGATTTACATGGGACCGTCTTTCCTAAAACTCTTCAGTAGCAGTACGTCTATTGATAGCCCTTTAGATGTCATACAATGGCGCTCACAAACACACACACACCTCATGTGGCTCTTCTTCCAGGAGATGATGTGAAAGACCGTAGAGACGAGGAACAGGGCGATCAGACCCATGCCGTACACCCAGGCTGTAAATCTCTCCCAGCGGTCATCTGACAGCCGGTGTAAAAGAGCCATGCCCACAAACGCTGGCATGATCAGCAGCTACAGGGAATAAAAACATAAATAAATATTTTTAAAAACAGCTACATGGACAGTTCACTAAATAACTGAAACGCTTTATGTTAAAAGCAAAAAGAAGATAGTTTGAAAAATGTTAGAAACCTGTAACCATTGCAGGGTTCAACGCCAAGGATTTTTTCTACTGGCCCAATCGGACCAGTGGTTCAGATTTTTACTTGCCCTGCCAATATTTTCACTGGCCCCACCAAAAAAAGTTAATAGCTATTTCTTAGCCATAAAAAAAAAAAAAAAACGTGTCAAAACGTTTGTAAATATAAATTTAAATATTAAAATTTTTTTTATAAATGTGCAATGAGCAAAATTCAAAGTGTTTTGAAACAAAAGAGGGCTAAAGACCTGCCAAACTGACGGCAAACTGTACAAAAGATCACTTAATTTTTTCTTGTTGTGGTGTACCCTCATATATGTCTGCTTCCAAGACGTTAGAAACCAACGTTTTCCTTTAGCATCATCATTTGATGTTACCGCCATGTTGCTGTCTCTTCGCTGTACTAATAATGTGCTCACAACATCCAATCAGATAAGAAGAACCGAGAAGGTAGCATTTGAAGGCTTGAAAATACAAACTGTTTCTCAATTCTAAATCTGTATTTGCACGCAATTGACAAATAGTCACAGGCAAATTAAACTTTAGTAACAAGGCACCAGTGGCCCGATCGGGCCAGTAAGGATCCTGTCTACTGTCCAGAGCACCTCACACGCTAGCCCCGGGCCATCGGGCAGTCCTTATTGTTGAGCCCTGCATTGACTTCCATAATGCTTATTTGTTCCTACTATGGAAGTCAATGGTTTCTAACATTTTTCAAAGCATCTTCTTTTTTTGTTCAAGTTAAGAGCCATGCCCACAAACATGGCATTATCGGCAGCTACAGAGTAATAAATTATAAAATAAATAGCACTCAAAAAATGAAAATTGTCATAATTTACTCAACCTTCACTCGTTTTTTTTCCTACTATTGAAGTTAATGGTTCTAACATTTTTTTATATTTACATTTTCATAACATACAGGGAATATTTTTTTAAATTAATAAATTAATTAATTAAAAAATGACACATATACATATATATATATACATATATATATATATATATATATATATATATGTATATATATATATATATATATATATATATATATATATATATATATATATATATATATATATATACATACACATACATACACACAACAGTTCTGTGTGGTTTTTTAATCTGATTGGCTGATAGCTGTGTGATATTCTGCAATATCAGCACTTGTACAGCCTCTTCACCCTTGTGTATTACTCCGCCTAAATAGAGTGACATCAAACTCACTTCAGTTTGACAAATATTGCAGCTGTTGGACAACATCATGTACTTTTGAGGCTTTTTAGATGAGAATGTTGTTTAGATTGCAACTATGCAGTTTATTTATAAGTGCAGAGCCTATTTTAAACATAATTTCAGAGATTCAGCATGTCGACAGCCATCCGCTTGTCATATTGAGCAGAGCAAAGATGGTTGCGCCACAAGATGGCGACAGAGACCGCATAATAAGTTCTTAGGGAAGAAAAACTCAGCGTCTTCTTTTCGTATTTCAAATTTCAGCTGATCAAATCATTATGAATCAGGTAAGTGACATTCTTAGTCGATCTCTCTCTCTTGTATGCTGAAGTGCTGAATTTATACCACAGATATCTGGCAGTGTTTGCGATGGGTTTTTTTGGAGATAATTATTGTTATATCTCTGTAGACTGATGGCATTTCATGCCGTTCAGCCTTATAATCTTTAAATGCGAGCAAAATGACCTGTTTTGTCATCATTTTAGACATTACGCTAGAGAATCATAAAAATACAAAATCTAAAGAGGTTGTTAAGCAACGGCTTCT